TTTCTTTCTCTCTCCGCACTAGCTCACCTCACCTCTCACGTCACCCGACATCCGTCCATTCGTCCGTACGACCCGCTCGACCGTACACACGCATCGCAGCACTCACTGCCACAAAACCGCCGCACGACGTTCCGCGGGCACGACCAGTTTCCACGATGGGGATCCGCGCGGGTGCTGTTCCCCGTGGAAATGACCGCGACGGCGCGAGCGGCGGACACCGCGCCACTACCTCCCTCGCTCACGGCCCGTTGTCTTATGATTCCAGGTACTTCGAAAAGCACCAGGCCCATCCCTATCAGGTAAATATCTGTCACCACCGAAGCGATTGGTGGATCTACGATACGGTTAAGGGTGGGGAGGGGGTGAGGGGGGAGGGTCGATCATTTCTTGACGGACACAGCCTCTCACGTCGTCTGGTCTGGTACGTTCATCGGAGTCGTCGTCGTCATCATCATCGAAGTCGAGCAGCACGCATTATTTTTGCCCGCGGTTCCGCGTCGTTGCCCGCGCGACACGTCCGAAGACAGGGAAGAGGAGGAGAGGAGAGGAGAGAGGGAGAGAAAGAGAGAGAGAGAGAGAGGGAGAGAGGAAGAGAGAGAGAGACGGAGAAAGATGAGATCGCTCCGGTTCTTGCGCGGAGGACACGGGACCCAACCGCGGTGACAGCACTCTTCCACACAGAGGAGTTCCAAAGTTCGTATTCGCAGTTTTTCGGCTGGCGGGGCAACACACGGCAAGGGGGCCCCGTTTGCCGTCGTTCTTTCCGATAGGGCTCAGGACTCACGGTCGCGCAGCCCGGAATCGATAATGCACGATCGACGACGATCCCGCGACAAGACTACATCCGGACGATCGCGTCAGCGTATTTCGTTCTTTACGCGTCGTTACGTCTCCACGAGATCGTCTGTTCCCATCGCTCGTCGGGCACGTCTTTGTCGTCATTATTATCGCGCTCTTCGCTCCAATTTTCTCCTCAGTCGCATGCGGGCAAGATAGATTCGATCGTTCACCAGGTCGAGGCGCGCCAACGTCGTCGTCGAATCATCGCGCGATTGGCATAATCGTCGGCAATTTGCTACATTGCGCGTAAGACTCTCCGAATGCACGTATTTGACGAGCACGACAAGTCGAAAAGAATCTACTTTGACAAGTGACATTTTGGTCATTGACAATATTTCGTACGTTAAACGTACTGCCGTGATGCGAATAATTGAGGTACTTTATAGATAAATTAATATTGTAGCCGTAATTAGTTGTAAGAGTTTGTCCCATTGATTGACTGTAGGGTTTGCCCTCTTTAAGCTATCATCATTTATGGTGGGTGGTATTAACAATTGAATATTTACATTCACGATACTTAAATCGGTCCATGCAAAATAGGGAGAACAGAAATTAATCGCAGTATCGTCTAATTTTTACGTCTGATGTGAAATAATTTCCTGCTGGTCTTGTAAACATAACCTCACTTTTCAAAAAATCAATAATTTATTCTAGCAGGTAATCCTCTAAAAATATTTGAGATCCTATCTCGATAGGAATCTTATTTCAATTCTTCTCATAATTCGACGGTTTTTGCGTCACTTTCTTCTATATTCTGTCAGAAATAACTTTAAATATGATAATCCTCAAGTCACAGTAACTTAGTAGATTCTCTTTGTACTTGAAAATTTTAGAATACAACATAATATGTCTTTGTAGTACAATATTGAGAAATATTCACATAGTCTTTACTGAAATGAGAAATGTTTAGTTGAGTAATAAGAATTTGTCCTTTAGATCAGAAATAGAACATGTGCATAATTGATACAAAAGATAGTTAAAGATGGTAAAAGCAATTGGTATTTCTAAAAGATTTGGTGATTTTATGGAATTTACTCCAATCTGATTCCATAGAAAAACCAGAGATTTTTCAGAATTATATAATCATTTTTATCATAATGTTATTCAATGTTTGATATTTGTTCCTTTGAATTCTTTTTAATATCATTGGAATCGATATATAGCTCTCACACATACATTCTTGCAGACGGCCACTAGATCAAAAAACAGTCTGTTATTCTCAAGTGGATTATCAAGCTTATAATAATTAATAGCATTTTTAATAACGATCTTATATTATCAGAATGAGAAAAGTAAGCAATCTTGATGTATCCGATTTATTTATATAATGTTTCGTGGTAATGCATATCCCAAACACATTGTTAATGATCTGATTGTAGAACGCAAAGTACAGCAGTTCTAAGGGTGGCTATTCCTCTTCAACCACGTCATCGGACAGTCGCTACGAAGGACGTATGCGCGACTCTCCAAATGGTAACTCTTACAGTCCAGCCGGCAGCTTGGGAATGGGCATGGGGACGGACCGGGACAGCCCTCGGAATTATACATCCAAGCCTCTTTACAAGAAGGAGAGAGAAAATAGAGACTATAAACTATCCTCCTCTAGGGACAAGTATTCCGGTAAATAATTTTTATTTTGCTCCATGGAAAGGACCAGGGTTTTGCTGTAATATCCAAAATTTTAATTTGATAAATTTGAGAATAATTTTGTTTGAATCATTAAAATAATTATAAAAGACAGGCGTCTAAGGTAGGCTCCCACTACATTACCTTACTGATGAGTCCAGTAGTGGAAGCCGGGACGAAACGCCAACTCGTGATATTCTTCACAATCTCAGCTTCTCTGAGTTTAAATTATTAATTTATTATTAAATTTTAATATATGTCTTCCAACATATTATTAAGATCTAATAAGATGCTATAGGCATCAAAAAGTGGTTAAATTGATTCTCAATTTAACTAAAGTGATATTACTACGGTAGTGAATATGTATGCGTCAATGCTGAAAATCCATCAGCGTCGCGGGGGGACTACATACGCAGTATATAAATTTCACACAATATAATAAACATTAACATCTTGTTTTCAAGACTCGATTAGGCTTTACACTTTACACTTTCCTCGATTTTTAAATCATACGAGTCAATTATTATTATCTTTCATTATAATTATAAAAGACGTTTAAATTAGTTGCTAAAATATTACAACGCTTTGTAACATTGTCATCAATATTTAAACGTTTTACATAATTATTTTGGTATAAACAAAATTATTCTCAGGTCTGTATCGAGTTATAAATTTTTAGATTTTTTAGCAAAACTATTATTTTCGTGTGTCCTCAACATTCTGTATAGAGCAAACTTTTTATATTTTAACAATTACCTATTTTTATTTTAATAATAGAGAAACCATAAGTTTATGAATATTATTAAATACAATCTTGATAAATATCAGTTACTACATATTTTTTTATAACGTATAGATAGTAATATGTCTATGAAGTAATACAATTTTCTATTTTTTTTTACCTAGAGTTTTATCTCCCTCTCCTTTCTTCAGTATAAAAACAGAATTGTCTCTTAATATTTTCAGCTGTAACATGCTTGCTTGCATATGTGTAGATTGTGCACGATCCTTAAAAGACAAGAGAAGCCGTGAGAGCAGGGATTCAGAACACAGGACCAACCACGATAGGAGTAGTGGGGAGGTGAGTATCTTCAACCTTAATGTTTAATTTAATGATTATTATTGTTACATGTAATAAAAAGAATATAAGTATTTGAATCTCTTTCAAAGTTATTTCTAAACATTTATGCCATATGTATAATAAAACTCTTATAAACAACTTATTGAACATAAATTTGTTCCTATTTATTCTATGTGATAAACATAAAATCATAAATCTTTTATTGTTTTCAATTTCTGTTGTATTATCTAAAATGTATTAAACTAGACAAAGAAAGCTGTCGCAAAGAATAGAATTCGTAAATTGTTAATTTTGGGAAAATTTTAAATATATACACCTAAATTACAAATAAATATTTATACATATTTCTTTTAGGCATATGTAGTCATAATAAGTTTTTATTAACGTTCCATGGACTGTTAGATAACTTACATATGGTCACAGTCCGACGAATTTACAAATTTATTTAAAACTTTACTTAAAAAAACATTTAATATGCTTTTTTTAGTTAAATATATCTTTTTAGGTGCATACAATAATAACGTTTATAAAAATTTCAAATGGACAGAGGCTCTAATGATTAAATCTAATAACAAAATTAAAAAAGCCAATACGAGCCAGCATAAGTTATCAGTATACAAGTATAATTTATTCATATAGAATCATTAAAAGTATTAACTTGTGCCAGCTCGTATTGGCTTTTTAATTTTGTTATTAAATAACGTTTATGTATGTGTTGATGTCTTTATAGATCTTACATCCCTTAAAATTATCATCAAATTCATCAAGGGAATCTTCATCCCAGAGAAAACCATCACACAATTCCTGTCAGGTCAGTGTATTATAATTAAGTTTATTTTATATTGACATCTGTTATAAATTCAAAATTCGAAGTCTAAATAAAAAATTATACCATTTAATTGTTATACGTTCATTCCAATAGCAAAATTTAATTACACATTTATTTTAATTGATTAAAAAAAATATTGTTATTTTACAAACTACATTTTTAATAATTTAAAATGACTTTATGTGTATGTAATCGATATCTTAATAGCCTCAAGAATGTGGATGAATATAACGTCAACTTTTCGAACACGTTTTGGAATTGATGCAAATATTCCCAATCTATTCAATTGTTTCCGGAAATTTTAGAACAGTCTGTTTAGGATAAACGTGGTGATGAGCGAGGAGGTGCGACGGAACGAACAGCCAGATTTGGCGATTGGTCAGAGCACATGAGTTCGTCAGGAAAGAAGTATTATTACAACTGCAAGACGGAAGTTTCTCAATGGGAAAAACCACGGGAATGGATCAGTCGAACTGATAATCGTCAACGTCAATCTAGTGACTACTCTTCTAGGTCAAGTACGTCTAAATTTTCATAATCATTAGTAGTAGTAGCAGCGGGGAATAGACAGCACCATATTCTCTATATGTCTGAATAGTCAACTCACAAGGAGAGGAGGCTATATTCAGTATATACAGAAATTTTTCCGTATATGCAGAGGTATGCAGGATTTGAACTTTCGACCTATCGGTTATAAATCCGTCACTCACACAGAGCTACACATTTTTTCATAATCATTAAATATGATATGTAAAATGTTAGATATAATGAATAAAAAAAAAACAAAATAAAATAAGTTGTTAAAGTAAAATATAAGTTAATTTTGGTTTTTTGATTGCTATTTAATATTTATAGTTTTGATATTTATGTACTTATAAATATTTACGTTTTATAGAAAAATTTATGAAAACTGACGAATAAAATTTAATTAACTTAAAATTTTAATTTTTATAAAATTTAACTTAATTTTTTATTTTAAAACTTGATACATCTTTTGGTTTATCTTGTTATATTGTTTATTAAATAAAATAACAAGAAATGCATATTGCGTTTGTGACATACTTAAAAAAATTAAGGGAAAAATAAGGGACAATTACATTCATATATATAATTTTTAATAAAACAATTCTGCTTTTTTATATATAAAATATATAACATTTTACCAAAACTCAAATTTTTCTGGGCAGGTCATGATAAACATTCCAACTCGCGATCAAATAGCAGTAGCAGTATGCGAGATGGTAAATCGTCGCGACAGTCTGACAAACGAGAATACTGGAGCTTATGTAGCGCAAGCGGTGGTGGCAGTAGCAGAGATGATGTTTCTGCAAGGGAGAGAGAGCGAGAAAAGGAACGGGAAAGAGAACGAGAACGAGAGCGAGAACGTGAACGAGAAAGAGAAAGAGAATCTAGAGAATGCAGAGAAGAAGTTAGTGTAGAACGCCAAACTCAAGATATGGATATCTCGCCAGGTGATTCTACACCCACTTCGGAACCTTTGACGTCATCCTGTGCTCATGATCCACTGCCACAAGGCCCTGTTCTCCTGGCCGCTGGTGGGTTTTTCTTTCATATTACGTGCAAGTTGTAGCATATAGAAAACATGATAATAATGAAATAATATTGAAAATATATCAGGTAGAAATATTACATTTTTCAATGATATTTAATACAACAACAGGGAAATATCAGGAAAATGCCACAAAACTGGAAATGAGGGAAAAGTCAGGGAAATGGAAAAACGAACGGGGAAATCAGGGAAAGTCAGGGAATTTTGCAAAATAAAAATGCTTAGCTTTAAAGAAGTTTAGTACACATACATCATACCTACACTGTTTTGAAACTATCAACTTAACAATTATAAATGCAAGCTGTATCAGCAACATTAATAGTAATTTACATTGTTATATTAAATTGTATCCTCAACCAAGTATATTTGACGATTTCCAAATCAAGACAAAAACACAAAAAATTTGAAAATATTGAAAGTATCAGGGAAAATCATTAAATTTGATCTGAAAATTAGGGAAAAGTTATAGAATTTTTAGGATGAGAGGAATTTGTGACAATTCTGACTTCTGATAGTAATTTTATCATGCATGAAACATTTTATTTTTGAGAAATTACAATGATCATTGTTTTTATAAATTTTTTTTTATTTTTGTAAAATTTCATTTAATTTTCTTTTAATATTAATTTACTACATTTTTATATATCTCAATCTTTATGGTATTTTGATAGTCATATTTTTGTACTTTCGTTAGCGTTACCTCGGTTAACATCACATCCATCGTCAACGACACCACAGGCAACTGGAAAACTTAGTTCGCCAACGCAACAACAAGGAAGTAGTAACGCTCCGGGACCACCGGTATCACTAGCAAATCTTCCAAGACTACTGTCACAAATTACGGGCAACAAAGAACAACCTGACATCACACCGCAGAAGGCATTACAGACAATTCAAACAGCTATCTTGCTATCCCGACAAGTAAGAGAGAATATTTCTGAAAATTTGCATTACATAAATTTTGTCGAAATAAACATTTTATATTTATTGAATTATGTACTATTAATAATCGGTACCGATGCATATGATGTGCAGAATTTTATTTTTCTTAATATTCTTGTACAAAGGTGTCTAATAATCACTAAATTTACTAACTTATTGATTTGTAACAAACGTGAGATTTATTTTTTTTCAACAAAAATTTTAAAACAAATTATTTTTCAAAGATTTTTAATGTCTCTAATACTTTAAATTATAGGGGAGAATGTCCTAAATTGGACCATGTTCCAAATCGAATCTTTTTAATTTAAATAAATAACGGTCAAGCAGATTTGCGTGCTATTTATAATATAAAGTCTTCATAAGACACCGAACATGTGACAGCAGTTTGGCAGTACTCTGTCATAACGTACATAGAATAGTAAATATGTATTTTCGGCTATTATGCGAAAATTTTTTTAAAAACAAAAACCATTGTAAAAGATGTTAAAAATTTGAACAGTAATTAATTTAAGAGTATAGAATTCAAAAATATTAAGTGTTTTGTGATTACTTTTGCGGTTTATTGTAAAATTTGTTCCAATCGTTCGAAAGAACTTTTATCCAAATCGGATCCATACAAAAAACACTAAAAAGACGAGTAAGCCAACGAATTCATCGAAGAAGGTTCATCACAACTTGGTTGTAGCACTAGTGATCGATCGATTAGATCTGTTCTAAAGAACATTAAATCAATAAAATATCATGTGTCATCAGACTCAGGAATTTTAATTCTAATAATATAAACTGTATTTTTACCTTTTTATTTTTTATCTTAAATTGCTCGTTTTTACTCAATACTAACAAAAATTAATTAAAATATTTTAAAATTCTATCTAAAAGTCCATAAAAATAGGAGAGGTCTGATTTGAAATTCATGGTTCAAATCGGACTGGAAAATGCATTTTTACATTTTCCATTATAGTTCGACACAGGTAAGAGATACGTCAAAATGGTCTGAAGCAAAAATGAAGGAAATTAAATGATCTTTCAAACGGCACCATTGGTTTTATGATTGGACTTTATTTACGCTTCATAGAGAACAAAAACTGCAAATAGATCCGATTTAGATCACTCTCCCCTAAGTATATTTCTCTGTTAAAATAAAATTCAATTAAAGTAAAACTTTTTTGTGACATAATCGTAAACATATCCAGTAGTTTTCACAATATTATAATCAACTAGTTATTTCTTTCCTTTTTTATCTTAAAACATCGTGTAAGTTCATAATTTTATATGTTTATCTTTTATTATAGCAGTCTGTCAGTGGGGACCGAACTAATACTGGAAGTGATGTGATGGTTCCATTAAAAGTTGATACAAGTGGCAATATTACCAGCGAAGGTCCACCTACTCCCACACATTCAGAAACCCAGGATTGTATTGATGCGCGAAAATGTAAGACTTGTTTTGTATAATGCTTATTTTACAAATCACCATTTATCTTTATATATACTATATTCTTTCTTCATTAAATAAAGTATTAAATTGTTAATACTTACAATTAGATTGAATTAAAAACAGCTGTTTATAATACTAAAATCAAATTTAACTTTTAATTTATTAACTTTATCTATCAATTGTGTGTGTGTGTATATATATATTTATATATAAAATTTCTTAACTAAAATCTAATATATAGAAAGTAAACTAATATGTTCATAAAAAATTATTTTAATTCGTGAAACAATGTGTCGAAATAAATTTTATTGTCTTCCATCTTTGTTCACATTTTTGAAAATTTCTTTTTATCATTTTATTATATATATATTATCATTCATTTGTATAGTGACAAGCCCTGGGGGAACGAATTCCGGAGTACAAGGTCTAAGCTCCTTGCAAAGTCTCAGTACGTTAGGCTCCCTTGGAAATTTGAGTAATACAGGAGGTTTACAAGCATTGTCGAGAGTGCAACCTCCCTTAACACCTTCTTTAACACCATCTCTTGCTAATCATTACCGGGAAGACTTGACACAGCACGTGCGTGCTTTTCCCGCCGATATTCTCGAAAAACAGGTGTGAATCCGGTATTTCTTAAATGATTAGTCTCTCTCTTTCTCTCCCCCTCTCCTGTTACTAAATTTTCTTAAATTAAATAATATTTATGTAAAGGCACAGAAACTTAGTGAGGAAGCACATACAATGGGCAGTTTGCAGTGTACGAGAGTGTCCGCAGAATTGAAGACGGCACGATCGATAGTGAGGCTGACAGAAATTCAGGCAACGTTACAGGAACAAAGGTAAGCATTTCATGTTATTATAGCACATTTAATAAATGTATAAACATAAAACAATTATATCGCTTATTTACTATTAATTTTAGGATATTATTCCTCCGTCAACAAATTCAAACGCTAGAGGAGTTAAAATCCCAAAATTCCTTCATGTCTGACGATTCTTAGTGTAAGAATCTTTATAAAATAATTATGATTACAATCTATAATTAATTCAAGCAAAATAAAACATGATTATTAATATTCTCATTAATATTGAATAATTAAGATTGTACCTAAATTATAATATCGTAATAGAAGTGATATAATAGCGAATGAACATGGGCTGCTCAGAGAGGATTGGCTGTTTCATTTATCAGCCAACGAGTCTTAATAAGTAATTAATGAATTTATTAGTGAATCCACCTCTCTGAGAAGCACATCAGGCCTATCCAAGTCGCAAATACAACACTAAATGATTAGAAAAACGAATCAATTTTATCAGTTCAATGCAAACTACTGAATTGTATATCTGAATTGTCCACATCGTCTTGTATTTACCTATGTTATACGTGTCAATGTTTCATATCCCAAGATTAAACGGCATTTTAACTAGTTGAAACATTTTTGTTGTAAATCTCGGAATAAAATTCGTGCCACAAGTTTTAATACAATTCTTTATCAGCCATAGTCTCACTTACCTAATCTCCTGAATTTTTCGTTGAGAGAGGGAGAAAATCGCTTTTAGACAACTTATATTTACATATTAAATATGAAAGACAAAGGAAATTATATATTTTATATTCAAATTTGTGTTCGATCTCCAATCATTTTATTACAGGGTTTCTTGACATTGTAGAATG